ATTGATCTATATATAATGCTATAATTGAAATATNTTAAAATTAATATGATTTGATTATCTTGATATTCATTATTCCCATGATTACACTCCTGACATGTTGAATGATATCAAATTGTCATGAAACTGATACAGTAGTGTTTATTCACCATTAGTAAGGTACTGTATCAATTTTATAATGATCTGTATAGTAGATGTCATTGTCACATCCCTGTAGGTATCAAGTGGATCAGCCATGTACCATGTATGATATGGATGAATGTCAAAATGATATTAATGTATTTAATTATCATGTGTAGAGGTATTGGAAGTGAATTGAAGTGGTATAGATTTCTATCTTCAATGTTAGAATAGGTCAGTTGACAAGTTGAATAGTAAATATCCTGAAATGATACCAAAGTATTTGAAATTGATATATATTGTTACTAATATGATTTATAAGGTGATATATTGATTTAAAATGATTTTGAAATGTTTTCATTGATATTCTAATTGTCTAATCTATTATATGAAATTAACTTATATAAGTCATTATAATGATGTAATATTATGTTATTATATGATTATATATTAAATTTGGAGTATATTGATATATAATATATTGATTTATAATGAGTATTTATTGAGATAATTAATTAAGATGAATAAAAGTAAAAATGTTGGGTCTGACCTTAGTCGTGGGTTTGGGTTTGGGTTTGGGTTTGGGTTTGGGTTTGGGTTTGGGTGTTGGTTTTGGTTTGGGTTTTGGGTTTTGGTTTGGGTTTTGGTTTGGGTTTTGGTTTGGGTTTGGGTTTGGGTTTTGGTTTGGGTTTTGGTTTGGGTTTTGGTTTGGGTTTGGGTTTGGGTTTGGGTTTGGGTTTGGGTTTGGGTTTGGGTTTGGGTTTGGGTTTGGGTTTGGGTTTGGGTTTGGGTTTGGGTTTGGGTTTGGGTTTGGGTTTGGGTTTGGGTTTGGGTTTGGGTTTGGGTTTGGGTTTGGGTTTGGGTTTGGGTTTGGGTTTGGGTTTGGGTTTGGGTTTGGGTTTGGGTTTGGGTTTGGGTTTGGGCTTGGGTTTGGGTTTGGGTTTGGGTTTGGGTTTGGGTTTGGGTTTGGGTTTGGGTTTGA